GGTGAAAACCGCGTACAAGTGTGCCTGTATCTTACGGGACACGATTAACCCTTACCTGCTGCGCAGAATGAAGGCCGATGTTCAGATGACCCTCTCCTTGCCGGATAAAAATGAGCAGGTACAGTTTTTAGTTTTGTGCAGTTTTCCCGTTTACGTGAAGAGAGGCTTTGAGTAAGACATTCCTGGAAGGAGAAAAGTGCCTGTGGACACAACCGCTCCTTTCCCTTTGGTCAGATGCCCCTTCTGGAGCCTCTTAATGACCTTAAGGAAGGTCTGGCCTAGCCGAATAAAACGTTACTCCTTAAACTTCAAGCTGGGAGTAAATTCAGATCAGATCCCTTACAGACAGATTGCTCCTTGTTCAGGTAAACAGGAAGAGTACTTAGACTCATATACCTCCTTCAGGGTGCTTCACAGGCCTTCTCTGAGCAGTTTACAGGGTCAGCATATCGCTGCCATGCCCCCTTCCCCCCCCCCCCCAACAATCTGGGTCCTCATTTTACCGACCTCGGAATGATCCCGGAAATAAGCCTTTATCAAAGAAGATCCCAGTGATCTTTTGACCCTCATAGACATGCTGAAGCTGCGTTTGCAGCTGACACTGAATTACAGTGTGTAGCACTACTATTTATTATATGGCCTGAATTATTTTGCAGGTGCCTCCCAAGAAATCTGAAAATAGAGTGTTTGTTTGATTTCCATAATTGCTCGACTCAGCGGGTTCTCTAGATAGCCTACTTCATAAAACATAAAAATGATATACCATTTTCACTCATTTAAGTTCTCTTTTATGTTTACAATCTGCTGCCAGATATCTGAAAAAATTTAGAATGCGTGGTGAATGCTTTATGGACAGCTACGTTAGGAGAGCAGAAATCTGTTCAATTTATAACCTCCTTTTCTATTCCAGTGAATACTTAAGTTAGTTAAGTTTAAAAACAAAGGTTACAATTAAAATTCCGGTGCCCTGAAGACTGAGAAGTGAGTGGTGGAATTTGAGAGTGACATCTCTTGGCAGGAGATTGCCACATTTTGTGGGTAGAGCACTCGGATACCCTCAGACAGGGGAACTCATCTCACAAATTGGAATTAATTAAAAGTTATGCCTGCAGACAGAGTGGGATTCCCTCCTGCGAGTCGGGCCTGACATATTGTGAGTTCTGGTAGGCCAGCCGAGGCGTTCGGAGATTGGCACCACGGAGACGCTGATCCCAGTCACGAAAGCCACAAGTTGTAAACTCTGGGAGAAGATTAGCGTTTGTCGTTTTATTGCTTTAAGTCCATGTTGGCTTGTAGTACGATGTGAGTATAGTAATTTCTTCAATGTCTCTGTTTAGGTATTATTTTGTCGCTTGACGGCTGAACAGCAAGAACTTTACAAAACATTTATTGATTCCAAAGAAGTCTATCAGATTCTCAATAGAGAAATGCAGGTAAAATGCAGTAAAGTAATCAATTTAAGAGGTTACCCAAAGAAAAGTGTTAATGTTATTGCCATTTGCAGTAGAACAAATTAAAGGCCGGAGCTTGAAGAAAAAGTAAATGGAACTAAATTAAACTAACACTGTTCGCTGTCTGACCTTTCTGTCCTCTTCATTCGGGGTTCAGGCCTGGACCTGGGACATGAACGGCACCGGTTGCTCTCACCAGTGACCCACAGCGGGATTTGGACACCCGGCCTTCCTCCCCTTTAACCTCTTTGAAGGGTCCCTCTCAGTCTCTAAGGAGGGAAGGAAGGAGATGTCACTCCTTCCTGAGTGGAGAGTCCACTCAGTAGCCAGGGCAGGAAAGGTTGAGCTCCAAGATGTGTGTGTGTGTGTGTGTGTATAGATAGATATAGCTAGAGAGAGAGAGAGAGAGAGAGAGATAGAGAGAGAGAGAGAGAGAGAGAGAGAGAGAGAGAGAGAGAGAGAGAGAGAGAGAGAGAG